GGGGTGGCCGATGTCCGATATTCAGTTTTAAGGCCGATACCGATAGGGGGCCGATTATATCGTGCATCCCTACTTCCTTTTGTTGTTGCCATGATTGATTGTTTGGCCTTCCTTACTCTCTCAGGAACCTTTATCTTTTCGCTCGTTTCTGATTGGAATTGCTCCTCTTTCGAGTCGCAGGTGGCAGCTCTGTTTTTTTTCACTCTGTCAGCTCCAGTAACGTCTAGTTTGTGCATGTCTCATGTTTTTTTTTCTTTCTGTTCTGTTTTGACAAAAGAAGGTGGATCCTTCCAAAGCCAGCACTCTGGAGGCAGCAGCGAAGCCAGAACCTCCTCCGCCCGTTCAAGAGGAAAAGAAGCAAACCTCCAAATCACACTTCATGTCTTTCTTCAAGCCCAAAGTAAGAATTAATTCACTTCGGATTTCAAAACCCTTGAATAGCTGTAGGTATAAGCGAGTAACAGATTGATGTGAACTTGAGGCACTGTTAGATACCATGACCACAAAAGTCCAAGCAGCCTCCACAAGTGGAGTTCGTCTCCTCAAGAAATCGACCGGCCTGGTAAATAAAATCATCCCTTGTGTGAATAGATGCATTATTAACCAGAATAATGTCATCTGAGATTAAAACTTCCTCTAAACAGCTTATTTTTACCTGAAGTGTCTCTGTTTGCTTTCATATTCAAAAGCCGTAACAGTTTGTCAGAGCGTGTGTGCTCGTCTTTCATAATGCAAGCTGTGTCCTAACAGCAGTCCTACGTCTTCAAAATGTGCCGTCGGAGTTCCTACTCTGATCTGGAATAACTTTCCCTCTAAACAGACACAGAAACAGGCAGAGCTAAAGTTTATGCCACACCTTACAGGCTGCTGACCCCAAGAAGACGTCTCCGACCCCACCGGCCGCAGCAGAGTCCCCTCAGCCAGTGAAAGCTAAGGAGGAGCCAAAAGCTGCAGCCAAGCCGTCCGAGGTTGTTGCGGATAGCAAACCGGCGTCTGCGGCCTCTCCGGCTGGAGACGATGCAGCCAATGCGGCCAAAAAACTGGAGAAGAGGAACTCCATCCAGCTGTTCTTTAAAAATCTGGTGAGGGGAGCTTCATCTTTGACCAGGATTTATAATAGAGAACGAGAGGTAAAGGTTTTCTAGGCCGACTATTATTCAAAA